CCATCAGCAGCCTATGAGACACTTCTCCAAGGGAGCTAAAAAGATGAGCTAGTGCAGAGAAGAGCACTCACAGCACAGCAACACGAGCCCTGGAACCCAGGTTCTGGCAGACTGCAGCATGGTAAACCTGTGAGCAAAGGCCACAACAACAGCCATCTTCTGCAGTCCTTCCACAGAAAGCTGAGAAACTTGCCACGTGACTCCTGCAAACCTTGACATTCTCAAGGATATATGTTGTTTTTTAAGGAAAAAAGTTCTGCTCCAAAGTTTTTCTGCTTCAGTCAGAGAACCTGTGAATTCAGACCCTCTTCATTAAGCCAAGGAGCAAGAAGGAAAAACCCAAACTACTGGCTGTTGATAATTGTAGGAACAAGAAAGGTCAGATTTACCAAGACTTAGCAGACACAAGCAAATCAAAGTCTTCCCAAAGGAAGCACAATACTTTTTAGGAAAGAGACAAACCTTGTTTCTGAATGTCAGCTTCCTTCCCAGAGCTGCAGCAGCAGGATGGAGACTGCCAGTGCAGAAAATGACTGCTGATGGCTGCACTTCTCCACTGAGATGGTCCTGCAATGCTTTCCTTCAAAAACTCAGCTATCACCTGGTGTTCTTCCAGCGGAGCACATAGAGCAAGAGCAGCTAAAGACAACACAGAAGTGCCTGGACCAATTAAGCTCTTGACAGGCTGCCTTACACAGGCCAGGAATGGTCAGCAGATACACAAGTGCTGGAATCAGAAAAGCCTTGGAACAAATAGCTTCAACAACTTGTACAAAGCCTGTGGAAAGACCCGATGTCCTGCAGTACTCTTGCTCTAGTGTCTGTTAAAGTTCAGGTCCTAACTGACTCTACATCCAAACCAAGCCCCTAGGATACTTAATTAGCATAGATTCACTGATACATGAAAAATTAACAGAGTTACAGCAAAACCTAACTGCAACACTACAGGTATTAAAAAAACCAGCAGCTGTATCATGACAGCAAAATTCAAGACTGATGGGGGCAAAACTGCCACTTATTTCCACCACAACCACGAAACAAAACTGAAAAAGTTTCAGTACTGGCATAGCTATCATAAGCCATAAGTGGCTGGAACGTGCTAATTTGCTAACAAAACAGTCTTTCAATAAAATTATTAGTGATAAAATACAAAAAATTCATGACTGGAAGATCCACAAATATTTGCTATGACAGGTCTGGCAAGACTGCAGGCCTTTTAAACAGGACCAGAGTAAAAAAAAACACCAACAAAAACACACCCACCCACCAATGATCCCACTTTGGCCACAAGTGGTATGAGAAAAATGACCTGCTCAGAGCAGTTAAAGGGCTTTTAAAATAGGAATAACCAAAGAGTTTGTTGTGTTTAAGGGCAGGAAATACTGCACAATGAATTTTGCTGTATCTTACAGTGCTACTGAAAGATGAAAGCAAAAAAAGTATGACATTGTCTGAACAAATTTTCTAGTATTATTCATTTAAGTCTGTGCAACAGTATGTGACTAATGTTCACTGGCAAAATTAAATTCAGCTACAAAAATTCTAAGATCCGATTATGGCAATTAGGAATTCTCCATTCAGTGCAACCTGCCCATTAACAGCCTACCCCTGCAGCATTTTCACTTTACAGTTTGTTATATTCCTCCTAAAAGCAACAATTTTTGTCCATAATTAGTATTTTTTCCCATGCTAAATAAATCATAATGTTCTTCAAAACATTTTTTGTAATCAAGCAGGGTTTAAACCTTTAGAGATCGTTGCTCAAATGTGAGGGGGGATAAACATAATGCCATTGGGCTTTGACTAATCAATTAATAATAACTTCTATCTCAGAACTCCAATGCTGGAAATACCCAGTCCTGAAAATACACTGGGTTTATGCCATCTCTGACCACAACCAGGACACAGGCAGAGCATCACATTGGGGAGGACTGGAGTTCATCACCTTGTAGAACAGGATCTCTGGGTTTTCACCTCTGCAGTGGATGGGGCTGACTCAGTCTAACCCTTATCTAACATGACATTGCCATTGTGATATAAATAGTGTCTTATTTGCCTGCTTCAGAGGAACAATGTTAGTCCAGAAAAGGTCAAATAGTTTTGCCACAGGGGAAAGAGCAGAAACCTTTTGTAATTTAATATTGCCCTTTTTTTTTTTTTTGGAAGACAGGAGACTCCAGGTGCTAGTCACACAGGAGAGGAATACAAAAGACACAGCATATTTATCTAGTCTGCAGTAGCACAAAGCAATAATATTTCAATCATTTCTTAAGGCCCAGGAGGAACCAGTATTTACCCAGCATCTCACTGATGTCATCTCTACTCGGAATCCTGCAAAGCCTACAGACAAAGTCTGCTCCACCCTGCCTGCCTGGACAACACAAAAGGAACTTACAGCTGCAGGCAAGTCCAGGACAGATGTATTTGATACACCTAAATGAAGGTTTTTTTCTTATTCCACAATGCTTATTGCATTGATGCTTTGAATTACTAAAGCATGAATAATCATGACTTTCACCCATAGCTAGCTGTAAAATTGATCCATTTTTAGTCAAATGGGAAAAATAGCCAGGTTTAGGTCTTTATGTTATGCAACGTGAGGTTACTGCTACTAACCCCCAGGTGAGGGCTATACAGATACCCACTATTGGGGTTGCTTTCAAGCATTTCTTATGCTACAGAAAAGAAAGTAGCTCTGTCACAAAATTAGCATGCAAGACAGGCTGGTATATTCATACACAGTTGAACCAGAGAAATACATGTAGCTGGGAAGCAAAATTTCTACAAATTACTACAGGAAGGTGACCCAAAGCCCGAGTTATTGCTGGCTTTTATTGCTTGCTTTTATTGCTTCCAGCACATTGGTAATCTATGCACACAGCAATACTTTGGTCCTAATGGAAATCAGTAAACAAGGTCACATGCATGACAAAGCCTTGCTCTGCACAGCCTAAAAATACTCGCAGGTCGTGCTCAAACAGCACCAACCTTTCCCTGTGCCACCCACTGCCTGGGTGCAGCCTGCACCTACAGCTCCCCACACGCAGGGTGGAACACATCCTGCTCAGGGGAAATAAGGGTAATTGCTAAACTTGTTATCAACCAAATCGGAAAGTAAAATAATTACAGCAAATTTTCCCTTGGGCCATCTTCTGCAGACTGCAAAAGACTTCTAAAGATACTCCAAGCCAGCCCATCTTTCCTGGGAAATACCAAACATTGAAAAAAATAACTGTTCAGCATTAGATTAAGTTACAGCATGTAAAGTGAATGAGATAAACTAAGTACCTGACTCAGCTGGAACCGTGTTTGTCCCAGACCCTGTGATACACCGGCAGCTTGCAGGTTATTCTCGTAAAGCATGTTTATACACTGACTTTAAGACTTCAGGCTAAGCACAACCTTGTGCAAAGGGCTACAAGAGATAGAATGTGGCAGGTTCTCTCACCCAGCCATCCCTTGCAGTCAGTATAAGAAATTTTGAGAGGCAGCAGCAAAGACAAGATACATGTAACAGCGGCAGTCTATACAATGAAAGGCTCCAGCTATTATTCCAGCCTCACAGCAAAGCATCTCCTCGACTGATGACGAGCAGATGGATCTCACACTCTGCACTGCTTTGTGAAGGTGGAGTGAATCCCACCAGCTCCTCAGCACCATGTGACAACCTGAGCCACAGGGTGCACAGCCAGAGCTCGCAGTGAAGAGCCACTGAAGGCAAACGCAGTGGAGGACACGTTCTGCTGGGCGTGTGAAATGCTGGGGTTTGAACCCCGAGCCCCAAATTCGGGTTGACATATGGGTGATTCCCACAGCCCTTCACAAAGAGGTGGTGAGTTTGCCTTATAGCTCCCCCCCAGGGTGCGGCCAGCCCTGCAGGGAGAGCCAGAAGGGAAATGAGCCCCAGGGGTCCCGCATTGAGTTGACAAAGGTCAGGGGTCTGCTTGGGGATAAAAGCTGGGACCACTTGCAGGGAGGCAGGACTGTCTGTCTGTGGAGTGCACTCCCCAGAGCTTCCTGGGTCAGGGCAGACCTCCTGACTCTCCCTGGAGCTGGGCCCCAGTCCGTTTAGACCTTTGTGAACCTGGGCTGATGGGGTGAGAGTCACTATGTGGGCACCTTTCTCTTATGTGTTCAGCTTGCTGGTCTGGCTGTTTCCCATGCCAACTGTGGGCAACCTCGGGTCTCTGTTTGTACCACCTGTTGTGGGCCGAGTTACGTCCTTTGTGGGATCGTTGGGGGTGGCGTCAATTATGTACCAGCTGATTGATCTGTTTGTACCCCCAGCGATCATTCATGGAATGTCCTTCTTGTCTACAATACAGTCTGGGTATTGGTTCATCTTCCTGCAGGCTGTATCGTTCTTGTTGGGCCTGCTCACTGGCAGAACAGCGTGCCTCTGCTGGCATTTGGAACTCAAACCAGAAATTTTCCGTCCTCGCAAAAAAACCGAAATCAGATTTATGAATAATAGATCCTCCTTCAGACTTCTGAAAAGTTCCTGAAAATTCTGAGCATGTAGTTAGGAAGACTGAAATCAAGGATTTGAAAGATAAAATGAAGACGAGCTCAGTGTTTATATAATAGAACAAAACATAGTGCCAAAGTCTGAGAAAACCAAGAGAATTCAATGATTCTAACACTGTTCAAACACCACACAGTCAGCAGTTCCATTTTCCAACTGCCATCTGGAATACTATTTTTTTATTTTAAAAGTATAATAGGGAAGTAAAGCAAGATAGCTTGTACCTTCATGTCCTCAGGCTTTTTTGTTATTTTGTTTGCTTTTAAACAGGGAAAGTATACAAATAATGACTGGTTATGATTACTGAGTACACCTAAAGAAGTGAGTTTTTCAAAATGCCCTGTCCAAATCCATTAGCAATTACAATCTCCTCAAGTTTCCATTAGTCTGTCAAAACAAGAAATAATCTTATAGCAGCTCCGACTAAAACTCTTAAAGATTGTCACATTGATTGTATTTCCAAGTATAGACTTACAAATCCGTAGTCTCCATCCTGTGGTACTTTCCAATCAGATGAATTTTTTGTCTGGCCAGACACATTCTTCCCAAAGCTATTGATTTGATTCTCCTTCTCCTTCTGCTCAAAATATTCCAGGAATGATGGTTTGGCTGGCTGCATCGTTTCATCCCTCCCTGGAAATATTAAAAATAAAAAAAGACGGTTGTTTTGAAAAAATATATTTTCACTTACAAAGCTTTACATCGTGCCCAAAAGTGATTTTATTTTTTTAGTACACACTAAATCATGTAGTACTGCTAAAGTACTTGCTAAAGTACTATTTTTTCCAGAAGCTTTTCAACCATAAAAGTGGCTGTACAGTGAGAAAACTGGAGAAGGGAAGCTTAAAGCCCAGCATAGAAGTGATTACAATGCTGAAGGCCTTGGCCTCTAAGCCTGAAATCCACTTGTCAAAGTCATACCAGGTAAGAGAGCTTCAAGCAGTGAATGCATCAACTAAACTGCTACCAGCTAGAGGGGTGGGGGCTTTTTCATCCCAGCCAGGCTGCATGCACTGCAAAATACACAAAGTTCCAAACGGAAACTGTTGATCTACAGCAGAAACACTTCATGTTTATAAATAGACTAGTACAAAAGCAAGGCTTTCAAAGACCACCTCTACCACACAAATAACACATAACTCGCCTTGGTAGAAGTAGTCAAGTTCTACATTTCTTGGGTAGAATCTTGGGTAGATTTATTAGTTTTCAAAGCTTTTTTTTTTAACTTTTTATAAATGGTCAGTTAGTAAGTTTTCAGCTTTACTGCCCCAGGTTTCCTCCTCTAAATTAATTCCTCTGAACATTCTTTCTTAGTGGATTACTCAAATAAACCAGATATATAACCAGATTAGCCATTCAATTCTAGACTGCATTTAAGAAACATGGGGTAATAATAAATGGGCAAGGGTACAAAGAGAGACAGAGGAGACAAAATAGTCCCCTAAATATGAATACTTCTGATTCTTAAAAGCAGGTCTCACAAGCCTCCCAAGCACCACTCTCAACAGAGTTCACCCATGCTGATGGGAGAAGAAAGGATATAGTCAAGAGCACAAAGCTTTAGTACAAGTAGATATACACTCTTCTCATTTGTTTAAATTATTCTTTAGAACGAGCAGAAGTTAAAAGGAAAAATATTGCTGATCCACTAAGAGCAATGAGCTTGTAAAACTCCATTCTCATAGGGTGCCAGACAGGTCGGATAGTTGGTGGGATTAGGGACGTGAGCACGACTGTATCCCTTCTTCCTTCACACTACCCGAATCTCAGCTGATGTGCCTGGAGTCCCATTGCACACACACAAGCCCAGCAATGCAGATAGCACACTGGTTTCCATCACTGAAGGAGGAAATGAAGGGTCCCAAGCTCCCAGGCCAAGGCAGATCCCTGGTGCTGTCTGGGGAGAGGAGCTGGGCTCCATGGACAGAGGCAGCTTCAGCTGCAGGGTGACGACAGCACAAAGGGGAAGGAAGTGATGAAAGAGGATGAAAACACCAATTCCTAGCACAGCATCAGAGGCAATACAGGAAGAAAACAAAAATCAAACTTCACAGCAAGTCAAGATTGCAAGACTTTCAGTATCTCCGGAGGAAGTTTTCCGTATTAGTGCAACCAGCACAGAATCAGACGCTGCCCAGACTACACACATTGCACACTGGCCTGTCCTGGGAGTTACAGTGCAGCTAATAGCTCATAATAAGTCTCAAGTTAAATGAAGAGGCAGGCTTACACAGCAGATGTGCTTTCACAGGGCTGCACCACAAGGCCACCACTGCTGCAAGCACAGCAAAAGACAACGCGCAGCTTAAAGCCATGGGGCTGCTCCCGCTGACAAAGTGCCTCACAAAACCCTGTGGGCATAATAAGCAATGTAACAATACCTAGCAAAATGTTTTTTCTCTGATAAAATATGGTTCTCTAGACACCACAGAAGGTTACTCAGACTGGAAACATGTTTTAGGCAATGCAGAAAGCATAATTTCCAGAATGGAGGATTATGACTAGAGTTCACAGAAAATTCAACCAGGATAGCCTAATTCTGGACTGTGGAAGTAAGTTTGCTGTTGAATATCATACATTCAAAATAAATATGAACTGTCAGGCAAATAACCCAAAGTTTAGAGCTTCAGACAAGCACACAGGGCACGGAGCCATCCTTTGATGGGTTGCAGGGGTCTGTGTAACACAGAGACTCTCCTAAGGAGCCTATGCAGAAGGGAGACTATCACAATACAGCCCTCTCTAAGGATGTTTAGCAGTGCTTTCCTCCTGAAAAAATATCAGCTACTCTGGAAACCCATTAAGATTTAATCAACAAATATTATTCTTGCACACAAAATTGCCATCCAGTGATCCAGAATTTCCCTGGCAGACTGTCTGATCCTCAGACAAGTGTATGAATTCCTTGGTCAGCTATGAGATACTTTGGGAAGTTATTTGTCTATAGACATGTTAAATACAGAACAAATTTCTGCAAAGTATGAGAAATCTTGGCAGGATATTTGGGTTGTGATACTGAGAGAAGTGTGGTTCTACACAGCCTGAAATGTCACGATGCATTTTGAGAAAGCACCGCATCGTTCTGCCTCTCCAGGGTCAGCTAAAAGCTCAAGCATGAACTGAAGTGCTTATATTTTTGCACCATGACAACTGGAGCAAAGACAAATTATTCCACCCCTGGCAGCAGTTCCCCTTTTTTAAAAAAAAAGCAAACCCAAAAACCTCATCATACAGAATTAGATCAAGAAAGACACCTTCAGACAGGCTGCATGAAGGTCAGGGAGGGAACACATCTGTGAAGTGGAGATGAGATTTGCTGTTGGGAATAATTACTGAAATACAATAGCAATCCAATTACTGCTAAGTGATCAAACATTTATTTAGAATGAAGTAAATGCTCCCCTTGTATTCTGCTGCAGTCTGGCCCATTTGAAGCAGGAGGTAAGTTGTTATGGCCAAGCGTGTGGTAATGATTAACATCAACAAATTTTGTAGAAATGGAGGAATTCATGACTAACCAGGCTAATCTATACACAACTTACTGACAGTCAGCCCAGGTCTCAGTAATTCAGGCTTCCTAGGAAAAAAACAGAAAATCTAAATCAAGCTTGTACTCTGTTTTGAAAACTATTGTTTGCAGCACAGGAGACTTTAAAATGTCTCCCCAGTGACACTGGATTATTGGGTTGATACCTTTTTTTTTTTGAATAGATTGTTAGCTCACACCAGAGCTTAGTTCAGAGTGTCACTTAAAATGATCATGCTTGTCTACCCACATCTTGTATTTACCAAGAACTGCAGTCTTTGGAAAAGACTAACTTCAACTCAACTACAACCTATTGTAGCATCACTGCACTATTGAAAAGCATATCCAAACCCAAGCTCTATTTAGCAAAACTTCTGTTTTCATGCAGAAATGAAACATAAAAAGGAAGCACACGAAGTGGTGATGGTAGTTTACAATCCTGAAGAGTATAACTGGATTTTGAGCCCCACCAGTACAAGTGATGGAAAAGCTGGGAGCCTGCAGCAGAAGGCCCTGGGGACACCAAAGGGGAGTGTGCCATGCTGGGAAGGTAGAAGGATGGGGGTTTGTTCAGCATGGGGAAGGCAAGAGAGGCTCTAGCTGTGGTCTCCCACCCCAACAAGCCATCAGAGCCCCGCTCTCCCCAGTGCAAGGAGAGGAACAGTCAGAACTGCAGCAAGGGCAGCTCAGGTGACCATAAGGAAGAAAGTTTTCACAACAGGAATGGTTGTGCAATGGAGCAGGGCTGGAGCAACTCTGCATGGCCCCGAGGCACCGGATCCGACATTGCACTTGGTGCCAGGCACTGCTCAGGGAACCAGCCCGGTGGCCTCCACAGGTCCCTGCCCAGCCAAGCTCTCCTACACCTCATGCTCTTCACAGCCACCTCCAACCCTGCAGTCACCTCGGGCTTTTCAAAGACATGAAATATTTAATCATAATTTTCAGTACATTTCTACACGTCAATGTGTAACACTGCAGCTATATTTAATGGGGGGTGGGGTGTTGGTGTTTTTTTGGGTTTGGGCTTTTTTTTTTTCCCCCAAGCTAATTAAAATAGAGATTGCTAACTGACAAATGAAAAATGGAACCCAAAGATAATATGAAACAAAAAATAGCTGGAATATAGATCTAAGACACCTGAAATTTCAGTTGCTGCTATGATCTCAGTAGGGGCGCGTATGCAGCAAGACCAAGAGAAACACTCCTGGAGACAAAGACATTACACCAAATCAATTATCATCCCAGCCCATCTGGATTTATTTTTGCCAATCTTGGCATTTAACAGCAGCGCTATCTTTCCAAAGATGATCTGCTATTAATTCAACACAAGAATCACATCACTATATCTTTAAGATTTTGATAACAGGCAGCTGAAGACAAAAATCGATCACTGCTATTTGCAGAAGCAGATCCTGGTGAAAGATGACACCACACTAAATGTGTCTGTGCCAAAAAGCATTTAACTTCCTAGTTTTATAGGGTTAGACTAAAATACGAACATTTGATGGAAAGTGAGATCACAGCTGTGGCAGAGAAGAGCCTTTTATGAGAAGGTCACCCTGCGGTGACGAGAAAGGCTGCACCGGGCGTTTATTTCAGAACCCAGAGAGTTGCTTATAAGGATGAGCTGTGAGAGCTCCCCAGAGCCATTAATGGTCTACCATTTAGATACACAGTCATCTTTTAGGAGCTGTATTAATTACACAAATGGAACACCACAGCTCTGCTGGAGCTGCTCCAGCCGACTGCGGAAGTGCAGGTTTGGGTGAGCTGCACAGAGCCACAGGCACTGGGAGGACCAGAAGCGTGTGGTGAAGAGCAGCAGCTCTCTGCACAACACTCACAAATGCTGCCTGGTATAAACTCAACTTTAGAAAAGTGTAGGAAGATCAGTATTGCTGTGAAAAGATGTGAAATCTGTGGGTCCAAAAGGTAGAGAATGCTGTAAATTGTGCACAACAAAGCCCCTTATATTTTGATTTTTAAAGGAGCACCATGCTAGACTTATTACTGATTTCAGTGTTACCCTTTTGGCACCAGAAAGTGAAGTCCAACCACAAGTGGTACCATGCAGGCTGGAACACTCCTGACCCAAAGCACAAAC